CCAGCAACCCCCGGCCCAGCCCACAGCTGACTTTGCCATCTGAGCTCCGGAACCACCTGCACACCAGGAACCAGCCTCCGCTGGCCTCCCACGCCCTTGTTGGATTGCTGGTCTCAGCTCAGGGGTCCTGCAACCCAACGCCACTTGCCCTATAACTTCAAGAAACACCAATGTCTTGTTTGAAAACGGGGTCTCCCCTCCCCCATACCACTGCAATGGAGTCAGTCTTTTTATTTCTTCCTTTAAGTGAAGATTCAGCACATGTAGAAAAAGTGAATGCACGGCTTAGCCACTATTGTAAATGGGAAGTTCCGTGTTAGACCTTCCTTTTTTAAGCGGATATTTTGCTCTGGGAGAAAAAGAAGCTGGTATAGTTTTTTTGTTTTTCCCCTAGGAGCAAGTGGGTAGCTCATCTTAGATACATAAGGAGCAACTCTGATCCCAAAGGATGGGACCCCAGGAGAATGAGTCCCTCTCTGGGGCTGCACACTTGTCACCCGTCCAGGGCTGTGGGTGGAAGGGAGACAAGGCATGACAGGTTCTGCTGTATGGGGTGGCTGTTCTGACTATGTCCCAGGAAGAGGAGACTCCAATTTTTAGCCTGAGTCTGTAACTTTCTGGGAAGAATGGATGAGGAGAGCTCTAGGACCTTCTCGAGCTGGACAGGCCCCCTCAGTCACAGGTTCCCTGCTGTGGCTGAGACTCCCAAGCTCCCAGGGTCCGGGGCATCCTTAACCGCAGTTCAAATGCCACCCTATGTGGAATTCCTAATTTTTAAAATTTCCCCCCATTTCTTACATGATTCATATATTCAGTGGTACCTTATGCTGACTTCTCACCAAAGCTCTCCCTTCATATCTTCTAGTGTCTTTCTTTCTTTCTTTTTAAAGATTTATTTTGAGAGGAAGAGCACAAGTGGGAGGACAGAGGGAGAGGGAAAGAGGATCTCAAGCAGACAGCAAGCTGAGCGCAGAGCCCAAAACGAGGCTCAACCTCACGGTCCTGAGATCACGTCCTGAGCCGGAACCAAGAGTTGGACACTGGACTGATGGTGCCACCCAGGCACTCCTTCCCCGTTTCTATCATGTGCCAAATTAGTAACACCAAGACAGGTAACATATACAGAACGATATATTTTTTTGAATCTAGCACAGTGCCAGCACATGGTACCCTGTAAGCCCTTGTCAGATTGATGACTACTTGGTAACTGATAACAGAATAGCAAATCCGGGTGTGTCCTCAGGATTATCTAATACAACATCCTGACTCTTAGAGCTAAGAAAGCTGTCGCCTGAGGTGGTACTACGGACGATCCACTCATCAGTGCTGGTTTATAAAGCCCACTGGTTAGTTTTATTTAAGGACAAGAGTTGTTAAGTGGTGATTCATGTATTCACATAAGATACCCTCTTTCGGCCAGGTGGCTGCAGCAAACTTTAAACAGCTGTCCCACCAGCCTGCTCACCACCAATCCAGATTTGAGGTCAAGAGCCAGGAATCCGTGGAGCTAAAAAATGTATCTTTAAGAGAAATAAACCACAAAACAGACTCTGAACTCTAGAGAACACACTGCTGGTCACCAGATGGGAGGTGGGTGGGGGGTGGGGGAAGCAGGTGATGGGGTTGAAGAAGGGCACCTGCTGTGATGTAGGGACGTGTTGAATCACTGTATTGTACACCTGAGACTAATACTACACTGTATGTTAACTGACTAGAAGTTTAAAACTTAAATAAAAACTTCAAAAAAAAAAAAAAAGTATCCTTATCTGACCTGCCCTTTTACCATGGACCCGAACAGAATCCTTCTTCCAATCAGATCTCTGGAGGTGGGTTTTAAAATGTCCCTTAAAAACACTGGGGACCAATAAATGTCCCTTAAAAATTCTGGAGACCAATAAATAAGACTTAAAGAGGAGTAAGTGGAAAATCGTAATCTGGGATCTATCAAAAACTTCTTACGTCTTGAAGGGAAACAAAACTAAAAGATATTTCTTTCTTTTAATTAGATTTACTGCCTAAGTCTAGATGACAAGATCTGCAATCAAAGACAAATATCACGACTATTAAGCAGAACAAGCTACAGTTGACAGCCACCTAAAGCAGCTGGAAAAAAACGATCCTTCGTTTTTTTAGTCACGGCAGACAGACAGACAGAAGGATGCACCATTTCTGAGCCATCACAAAACAGGCTTTTTACACCTGCATCTCACCCGCCCTCCCAAGCAAGGTAGGCACAAACATTCTCATGTTGGAAGTGAGGTTGAACCCATCTGCGACCTGCGGAGCTGGGTCCTAGTGTCCAGGCGCTTCACCGGGACGCCCCGCCATCAGGGGTCAGCGTGGAGGACTTTCCAAAGTTTAGAACTGAGAAAATGAATTAGAATTTCAAAATGGGAGACCACAGGCTGGAACATCAAATGAAATTATCTGTATGACACAGACATTTTAAAAGGACTGATTAATTAAAGGCTCTACTGTATTCCTACCAACACCTCTAGGCATGGATACACAAGCGAGTCCGTGCATTGGCACAAGCTGCGTGTCCGTGAAGTAAAGAGATCCCCTTAAGATATGACCAAGCATGTCAGAGCCCACTTCTCTAGAGACACGATGGTGGGGACAGTGCAGCCCCAAGAACACCCTCAGAGGAAGGACTTCAATGCCAGATTCTTATCTAATCAGAATGTGGAGACAGAAAGAGATCTCAGATATCTAAGTTTCTGGAAGTCTCCCACCCGCACGCCAAGGGAACATTCTCCAAGTCACAGAAGGCTGAGGGAAAGAATGCTTCCATGTGGCAAAAGGCAGGAACAACCACAAAGTGACTCCCCAGCCCAAGCTTTCTTTCCAGGTTCCAAATACCTGCCACATCCTACCTTTCAAGACCAGATTCCTGCACGAGATGTGCAGACCGTAACTCAGGAGAAGCCAGTCCACAGCCTGAGAGACGCGGGCCCTGCCCGACGCACGGGGAGCGGAGACACCTGGGTGTTTCCTCTCCGACATACTCGAAGCTAAATCCCACAAGGGGGATATGGCCCCATGGCCCGTGACCAACAGAGCTGAGGGTCAGGAGCGGCAGGAGTGGCGGCCAAGAGAAACACTGACAGCGAAGGCCGAGAGCAAGCTACGGAGTGAAGCAAGACACGAACAGCTCCTGGAGAAGTGCCGCCTGTCCGGTCAGCTGCCGCAACTGTAACACCCAAGGTGGGGAGAGGTGACCCTAAAGAGGACCAGCAACTATCAGGGAAGAGAGCCGTAGAAATACTCAGGAATCCAGGGTTACTTGTAGTGCTGTTTATGCAGAAATGAAACAGGACAACGTAATGTAGGAAATGCTTCACGATTTTGAAAGATTTAATTAAAAACTAGAAACAAGGGGCGCCTGCGTGGCTCAGTAGGTTAAAGCCTCTGCCTTCAGCTCAGGTCATGATCCCAGGGTCCTGGGATCGAGCCCCGCATCGGGCTCTCTGCTCAGCAGGGAGTCTGCTTCCCCTCCTCTCTCTGCCTGCCCCTCTGCCTACTTGTGATCTGTCAAATAAATAAATAAAATCTTAAAAAAAAAAAAAAAAACTAGAAACAAGGTTCACATCCAAATTCTAATCAAAAACAATGACATGTTTCCAAGGGAAGAATTAACAGTCGCAAAATCAAAGCTGTTCAAGGAGCACAAAAGTAGAAGGTGGGCCAAGAATAAAAGTTAAAACAACGGTCTCAACTCACCTACCAGAAGTGTCACATGCCCTGTCTTCAATAGCGCTGTCAAGAGAAAACCTGAGAACCTGAATGTCGCCCACGTCAGACCCAGGATTTCCGTCTGTTCTGTGTTCAGCACCTGGAACCGCCCAGCATCCAACTGTCTGAATGAATGAACGGAAGAGGAATGCTAACCGAACTGCGTGGCGGCCCCGGGGACACGGGAAACAGGGACTGTGGCTCAGCACAGCTGGGAACTCTATACACGCACGGCTTTTCCAGGGGACAGTTCAGAACACATGCCAAAGGTGTGTTAAAATTAGGCATCATCTCTAATACGAGAAGCTTAAGAGACATGTAAGATGACGAAGCCATTCAACGTTTTTATGTATGGTGAACAAAAGGGAAACCACTAAATGTGCTTTCCTAAATGCCCCAACAGAGGACTGGCTAAATTATGGTCCATGCACACGATGGGATCCTGAGGGAAGATGTGACACTGCATGTTCCCACGGGAAGTGACAGTGACACAGAGAAAAAAGCAGGCTACAAGGGAAACACAGTACAATCCCTCTGCTGTGTGAAAGGCCTGGAAGAAATGACAGGTTCCCCAAACTGCTAGGGCGACAGCAGTTTTTACTCTCTTCTTGCTGTTCATCTCTCTTCCCCAATACTTCTACAGTGAACACCTGTTACCTTAGAAAACAAAACTGTCCATTATAAAAGTCTGGAAACATTATTTTTGAGAGACCAATACTACAGGCTATAAAGCACCGTCAAGTGAAGTATTAATTTTAAACATCATCTACCCCTTGGAAAAACGCAGCATTCTTCATCTTTCGATTTTGTGGATGTGTGTCTGGTATCAGACTACACCGGGCTACTTCTGAACCCAGAAGTAATAGAAGAGAGCTGGAGGCAGTTACAAACCAGCACCAACCACGGGACTTGCACTCGGGCATCTGGGGAGGACACAAATCCACTCAACGGCAATAAGCGAAGCTGATTCCAACGCAAACCATACCTGGGCCAACGCAGAGTTACACAGTCTTCGGAAGAGACCCCTTCTTTCTTCAGTAGAAGATGCATACCGATCAGATGCCAACTCAGACACAAATGAGACTTTCTGGTTTCAATTTGAGCTCACTACTCATCACATTATGCCTTCGGAAAATACCACTTTGAAACCAAAGAAGAACGTTGATTCGCCTTTTGTGTGAACAGGATCACAATGAGGCAATACCTGGAAGAAAACTCAAGCTTCTATTAACATAGCCTAAGTCAATCACTTGTAAAATCTCAGCTACTGTTACTCTATTTTATTTGAGGTTCAGAATTCAGAATATACACCAAAGGACAATGAATAAATTCCCAGTTTCTCATGCTAAGTGGAAAGGCTGTATTACAAAGATGCCAAGGTCAAGTGCCCCGTTTGTCCCCGTTACTTCCCACAACCAAAAGTTCTGTTCCAGTTTTCATAAAGCTCTAAATCTTTAGGAGACACGCTAGGCCGCACGGTTCTGAAGGCGTTCTCAAAATCAACGTAAGCTATTGGTCGGACCTGATCGGGTGTTATCGTGGCAATGTCAACGGTCTGTAAACTGCGAATGGGCCCGAGGGATGCCTCTCTGCAAAGCTGGGTCATGTCAGCTCCCGAAAACCCGTCTGTCTGCCTTACAACCAGGGCGATTTCCTCCTCGCTGAGGCAGCACTGCTCCTTGGACATGAGGTTAATCACGATCTGTTTCCTAGCCGCAGCTTCTGGGAGTGGAATATAAAGCCTTTTCACCAACCTTCTCCGGGCAGCCTCATCAATTTCTTGTGGCCGATTGGTTGCTCCCACCACCAGGATGCGATCTTCAGAAGAAGTGGTTGCTCCATCTAACTGCACTAGAAATTCCGTTTTTATCCTTCTGGAAGATTCGTGCTCACCATCTCCTCGTTGAGATAACAGGGAATCAATTTCATCAATGAATATCACAGCTGGCTGCTGACACCTTGCCACAGCAAACAACGCACGCACCATTTTCTCCCCCTCACCTACCCACTTAGAAGTCAAAGAAGAAGCAGAGATACTGAAGAACGTTGCCCCGGACTGACTAGCAATGCACTTGCCGATTAGAGTTTTACCAGTCCCGGGCGGCCCGAAGAGCAGAATTCCTTTAGGGGGTCCTCGTAAACCCGTAAAAATGTCCGGCCTCATCATGGGCCACACAACAATCTCCTTTATTGTGGCTTTGGCAAATTCTACTCCGGCAATATCTTCCCAGCTTACAGGTGGTCCGTGATCCATGATCTCATTCATGATAAGCTCAATCATCTTTGGCTCCAAGTTCTTCAGACGCTCATCGATTGGATTTGCTGGCTCTGCAGGTCCTGCACCATAAGCCTTATACTGCATCCCCCCATTCTGATCTCCCCCATCTTGCTTAGGTATAGGAGGAACAAACTTTCCAAATATTCCTCGGGACCTACTAGCTCCCAGAGACTTCTTTATACCACTGTATGAAGACCCGGGTGCACGCTGGGGTTGGTACTTCTTTTGCTGATCTACCCATAATTGTTCTTTTGCAGTTTTAAAAGTAGGCAGGCCACTCTCTTCTCTTTGGGCATTATCTTCTGTTTTACTAACAGCCTTATTCACAATGGGAGTGGAAAGGGCATCAATGGTGCCAGGACCATACAAAGCTTTTCTCTCTCGTGGATTTTCACAGCCAGAAGGCAAACAAGACTGATTAGATGAAAACATATTTAGTCCTACATTGGCTTTTGGAGAGTTCTTATTTTCCTTGTTGACATTTCCAAATAATGGTGTGGCATGGATTTTTGCAGTGGCTAAGTCACCAAATGGTGTTAAGGATGTGGGACAGGCCTTCCTGGTGTTCGTTAGCACAGGTGGCTGGGCATTCTGAGGGCACGTCGAAGGACTGCTATCTGGGATGCCTTGGGTCCTACTTGTATCAGGAGCTGCATTAGTTAATGGGCCACTCTCCCCAGAAGCCCCACAAACAGTAAGTTTAGGAGGATCGAGGACAATGCCCTCTTTACGGATGACTCCTGATGCATCGGCAGTGGCCAACAGGGAGTCTCTGGATTTTTTGCCAGCTTGCATCATCTCCTGTACATTACTCAATTGGAAAACATTATTTATTGACAATCCAGACTGCCATTTGTCACTGTCAGTCTGGGGAGATCTTGCTAAAGTTAAAATGTTTTCTGCATAGTTATTCAAGCCAGTCTCAACATTGTCACAATCGATAACTGCAGAATATTTCTCTGCATATTTTCTGAACAGTTTGGTGGCGCAGACCTGGGAGAGCTCGGCGTTTGCCCATGCATACTGAATGCGTAATATCTGCGCTCGGTACGCATCTGCCTTCTGTTCTGGGGTACATGTGCCAGATGTAATTGTAAAGTAATTCTTCTGCCAGTCACTCAGGTGCACAGACCTGGAGCTGGAGGCCCGCATGCTGGAGGTTCTTTAACAAATGACAGAAATAAAGAACAGTCAGTATGAAGAAGAAGGAAACAAAGACATAATATTGTAAGCATATTTCTTAAATCCCTGCTCATCTGCAGGAAGGTATACTGGACCTCTCATATGTAAGGATAGAACACTAGGTAAACACGTGTTTCAGGCATTCAAGATAGAGACTTAATAACGCTTTGTTATGGGTTAAATGGTTTTAGTTATATCATTTTCCCTGCAAATGGGGAAAATACTCCTAAGGCTTAGATGGAAAGGGCTTCAAATTAATCAGCAAAACAAAGGCAACACTTGAGAGTAATGAACTACAGACAATGCAGGGCACACCAAGCCTGGGGGTTTAGCTCTGTCTCTAAGATAAACCAGATGAATGATCTCTGTCAAGCCTCTTTCACGGTGCAGTGAGAGAAATCATCACAAGAATCGAGTCAAATAATGAGTATGCAAATATTGTGAAAGGTACCACTCTCATGCCTGTTACACAAATGTACACACTAAGGCCGGGAGCTCACCAGAGATCACAGAGCCAGCAGGCAACAGGGCCGGGGTGCACACTCGGGCACATTCACCCAGGGAGTGTGCAAGTCACAGCACACGAGCCGCTCCGCGATGCTGCCACCAAAGGGCACAGCAGCATGGCTCACAACCATCCACCACCACCACCTATCAAATGTTTTTAAGGACTTCCTCATCAATGAGCACCGAAAACAGGATGCCCCAGAATCTCTCACAATTTTCCAGTTTCACCTTAAGTATTAAAAAGTGAAACTGGGGCGCCTGGGTGGCTCAGTGGGTTAAGACTCTGCCTTCAGATCAGGTCATGATCTCAGGGTCCTGGGACTGAGTCCCACATCAGGCTCTCTGCTCAGTGGGGAGTCTCCTTCTCCTTCTCCCCATCCCCCACTCATGCTCTCTTTTGCTATCTCTCTCTCAAATAAATAAAATCTTGAAAAAAAGAATTTAGGGGCGCCTGGGTGGCTCAGTTGGTTAAGTGTCTGCCTTTGGTTCAGGTCATGATCCCAGGGTCCTGGGATCGAGCCCTGCATCGGGCTCCTTGCTTGAGCGGGGAGCCTGCTTCTCCCTCTCTCACTCCCCCTGCTTGTGCTCTCTCTCACAGGGTCTCTTTCTGTCAAATATATAAATACAATCTTAAAAAAAAAACAAAAACCCGCACTATCAATAAAATAAAAAGCACCATACTCAATAGAAGATACTTGAAAAGCATCTATCTGATAAGGGGTTAACACCCAACATACAGAAAGGACTCCTACAACTCCATGGCAAATAAACAATTCAATTCAGGGCGCCCAGTTGGCTCATTTGGAAGAGGATGTGACTCTTGATCTCAGGGTTGTAAGTTCAAGCCCCATGATGGATGTAAAGACGACTTAAAATCTTTTTTAAAAAATGGGCCAAAAAAATGGGCGAAGGCCTTGAAAACACATTTTCCCAAAGATAGACACGTGGCCAGCAGGTCCATAAGAAGGGGCTCAGCATCAGTCGTCAGAGGGAAACGCAGAGCAAAACCACAAGGTACCACGTCCTGCCTGTCAGAAGGGCGAGTGTCACCATCACAAGAGACAACGGTGCTGGGATGATGTGGGGAAAGGAACCCTCGTGCGGTGTTGCTGGGGGCGCAAACTGCTGCAGCCACCCTGGGGGACAGGATGGGGTGGCCTCAGAGAATTAAAAACAGAATTCCCGGGGCACCTGGGTGGCTCAGAGGGTTAAGCCTCTGCCTTCGGCTCGGGTCATGATCTCAGGGTCCTGGGATCGAGCCCCGCATCAGGCTCTCTGCTCAGCAGGGAGCCTGCTTCTCCCTCTCTCTCTGCCTGCCTCTCTGCCTACTTGTGATCTCTGTGTCAAATAAATAAATAAATAAAATATTTTAAAAAACAAACAAACAACAACAAAAAAACAGAATTCCTGGGGCGCCTGGGTGGCTCAGTGGGTGGGTTAGGCCTCTGCCTTTGGCTCAGGTCATGATCTCAGGGTCCTGGGATAGAGCCCCACATAGAGCTCACTGCTCAGTGGGGAGCCTGCTTCTCCCTCTCTCTCTGCCTGCCTCTCTGCCTACTTGTGATCTGTCAAATAAATAAATAAAATCTTAAAAAAAAAAAAAAAGTGAAACTGACCTTGTAAATTAAATATGAGAAAAAGTCTGCTCAAGTACAAACACTTTAGGTCTAAACGGTGTAATAGTAAAGCGCTTTTACTTTAGGGTTCTTCTCTCAAGTTATTTTTGTAAGCCTCCTTATATTCAGTTGAATTATTTTACCAGAATTATTGGTGACTGTAATCATATTGCTAGATGTGTAGAAGTTACCTGTCCAGCCACAAGAAAAATGTGTAAGAAAACTTCTAAGTTTCCTAGGAGTGCTGCCATAAAGGAGTGCCGTAAAATCCAAGAACTCATGCATTTTAAAATCTACCTCCCAAATTGCCTGTAAATATGGCTTAAAAATCCATAGGTTCTTCCAGCCCACAAGTAATACAGCTGACGCGTCTCCCATAAGGCTGTACAAAAAGGAAAGGCCCAATGAGATTCTAATTTGCTTCAGGCCATAAAGCTACATTAAACTAGTCAAAAGCAGAACCATTTTTGCTTTTAAGACTCTTTTAGGCAGTGCTGGAAGGGAGGAACTGAGACGTGACTTGGAAAACATGCATCACTTTTCTCATCAGGAGGGACACCCTCTTCCCCTGCCTGGCTTCATCTCCCTTCCTCCCCTGCAGTCCCGGGATTCCTCCAGCAGCACACCGCCCTATCACTGCTCCCAGGACGCCTCCTCTCCTTTCCACCTTCACCCTTTTCTTGGAAATCCACCTCCCAAGTCTACTTCCTGCCGACTCAATCATTTACCCCCTATGTGGACAGGAACAGCCAAACACCTGTGTGGCCAGCCCTGGCCAAGGACACAGCCACTGTCCCCATCACCATCAGTCACTTCCTCCCGGCATTTCTTCCACCAAAAACTTGCAGTTCATTAACACACATGAACTGCGCTCCAATCTTTTTTTATCATGATTCTGGTAATTTTCTGCTTATGGTGAGAATGTGGGATTCTCAGCTAGCCAGCTGGCTGCTGCCAGCAGGACCTGTTTTCTTTAACATCTGTACTCTCCCCGTATCCAGAACAGAGTATCCCCTGGAATAAAAACTACTAAAATCCTGCCAGACCCCGGGCCGGCCCTTTGTAGGGGCTGCTAACTCCCAGAAGCAGGACCCGTCCGCTGGCTCCGCCGCCCACCAGCCCGGACCCGGATCACAACTCCTCAAGTCCGTCAGGAGCACAGGTAGCACAAGCCAGCTCCCTGGGGCTGCCGGTTCTGCGAGGCCCTCAGCACAGCTCTCGGCCCTTAGAAAATACTAGAACAACTGTTTGGCGTCTCGGGTCCTTGCAAGGACCCCCCCCCCCATGGAGGCAGGAGCCCCCCGCAGCGCCCGCCACAGGGGCAGCGCACCCACGGTCCAGGCGGGGCGGCCCCGCCCCCTGCCTTCCCCCCGCCCGCCCCGGAGACCCCTGACCGGCCGCCTGCACCCCCGCGCAGCCTCCGCCCGGGCCCGGCCCGGCCCTTACCCCTGGGCCCTCCGCGACCCCCGCTCCCGCCCGGGGCCAGGCTCCTCCACACGCCCCGCCCCCCCCTTCGCCCCTCATCCCTCGCCCGGCCCCTGGCCCCTGCCCCTATACCGACCCGGAGCCCCTACTCCGCCAGGGCTCCGACCCTAGCGGGAGCCCGACCCTCACGCGCTTCCGAGCCTCCTAGCCCACCTGGAGCCTCCGAAAAGCGCGGGGCCCGGTGTGCGCTTGCGCGCTGCTTACGTGCTCGTACCCGCGCCGTGCGTGCGTGCGTGGGGCGCGCCGGAGGCGGGGCGGTTGCTGGGAGCGTCGGGGAGGCGGCCAGCCGCGCGGGGATCCGGCTGGGGCTGGCGAGGTTGACGGAGAAGGGGGTCGCGGCTAGAGCGGGCAGGAGTGTTGGTGAAGGTGGGGGCGTGCTCGGGAGGATGCGCGGGGCGTGGCGTGGGGGACGGGGACGCGGAGCGGTGGGCGGGGCGGTGGGCGGGGCGGGGGGGG